CGATTATTTCGTATTTTTAAATTTTTTAGAGCTATTTCATATTCAGACGATTTGTATCGAATCGAACTGTCCTCTTTTCCAAAATTAAATTTAGTTCTTGAACATTACACGGAGACGGAGCACACAGCCGCTGGCGGCCGACGTTCACAGGTAGCACTACCATGCCGTCCGAGCGCGGTGTTGCCTTTCTTTCATCACGGCTCGTAGTTGACGTCGGCTGTGCTCATACGTTCGAAATTCAATTGTTTTTCCTAACCTCAAACAGGTCACGTGACACTCTACGAAAGCCGCTTCAGGGCCATACCGTCAGTTCTTTCTACAATTGTAGGACGCCTTTATGGCCTCCTTGATTTTGATCCTTCGGAAAGCATGTGGTATTTCTAGACTTATACTGTCTCGCTCTCCTATTGTGAGACTATGTTTTCTTTTTGATTTGTAGGAAATCAAAGCATGAACAGTTTGATGCAAATAGATATTTGTAACATAACCTCAAAATAGAGCGCTGACTCGGAACAGCAGAAAACTCGGGATTGAACTAAAAATATAGTGACATTTTTAAATGGAACCAACATCGATGTTTTTTGCTATACCCATCCCCTCTCCGGTGATCATCTACTTACGACGATCCCTCAGAGCTGCTGATGCTGTTCAAGCTCGACGCTCTCTGACTGGTCTCTCCCCCTCCCACACCTTGGCCGCTGCCTCCCGCCATACTGCTTCTGGGAGGGGGGATGACCTCCTGCGATCTCTGGATGCTGGTGCTGCCTCCGGAGGCACGCTTCCTGTTGCCTCCGCTCGACTGGTGAGGTCTCTCTTCTGCGGCCACACAAAGACAACGAGCAATAGGGAGCGTTCTACAAGCTTTGCTGCGAGCCGGGGGATTCGAACATATTCGCGATCGGTGTCGGAGAAATGGTAGGCCACGGAGATAATTTCTCCGCAGACAATAAATTTGAAATCCACAATAAGATCCTAAATGTAAAAGTCAGTGGAGTCATGGGAATTCTGTAACAGAGCTTGACAGCTGCTCAAGGTCAAATCTAAATAGTAGTGGGGTAATGTATCGAATCATGTTTCTTCATCGAGGTCTAGTCTGCTGTGTTTGTAGGCTTTGTAACTTTCGAAAAGGAGGTTCAGCAACAGATCCATTTGTATATAGATAAACACAATCGCGCATACGAGGGTTTATACAGAAATTGGGTTCCCAAAGACGTCAAGCCAAAATGGAAGGTGCCGTACCGCTCATTTTTGGCTCAGCATCCGTCCAATGTGGAGGTATACTTTATCTGAAGTCACTTGAAACACTGTGAAATACCGGGTGCGTTTTATATATCTATATTTAACATGCTCTGTTGCTGCAAAAATCGCCAAATTTCGCAGCAAATATCCCCCCCCGTATAAGAGATCAAAGGCAGTTTCACCGGTCCACGTGGAGTAAAGCACGCCTATGCGTGGACATAGCCAATGAGAAAGCGTGTATTTCAGAGCTCGGAACAAGTGCAGCTGGCTACTGAAAATTGAAACAGTTTAGCCAGTGCCGTGTAGCGGTGAATAAACGTGTTTTCTTTAGTCTGTCCGTGTTTTTTCATAGATTTTATTAGTTTGTGTGTTTTTGACTTTTGAATACTCAGTTTACTTGTTGATTTAATTGTTGTGTTGATTGTTCTTGTGTGTCCTAAATATGGCTCTTTGGAGACCTTGGGAAAATGCTCCAAGCCACGAGGAGATGGTTGATGAACCTGTGCAGGCAGAATTCTTTCATAAAGATTCAGAGGAACAGACCCAAAGAGTAATCCTAAATATGTATGATTGTCTGAAAAACGAAAATCCAGATTCCTCGCAAAATCAAATTTTAAACAGAATTTGTATCCTGACAAAAATCAGTCGGTCTACCATTTATCGGGTTATAAAAAGGGGAGATGTAGTCAACCATTCCTTCCACAGAAAGCGCATAGGCCAAAATTAAAAAGAATAGACGTGGGTTTTCAGGAAGATATTCGTCGTATAATATACGGATTTTATAAAGAAAATTTGGTGCCCACGTTGGAAATGATACGGGATAAATTAAAAGATTATCCTGAAGATTTTTATAATTACAAATGCTTAGACTCACTGCACTGTATTGTAAAACTGTGTGGTTTTCAATACAAAAAATTAGATACAAGAATGGTGATTATGGAGTCGTCTCGAATCGTTGAATTGCGCCAAGAATTTTTGCACAAAGTTAAAATCTATAGAGAGCAGAAAAGAAATCTGATTTACCTGGATGAAACGTGTTATGATACCCATGATGTTGTGCAGTACGGCTGGGTTGACGACAGCAACAAGTGCATTTTAAATGCACCATGCAACCGTGGAAAACGAATCATTATTTTCCATGCTGGCAGTGAAAATGGATTTATACCTAATGCCTTGCTGTTATCTGCCAAAAATATCAAAGAATCATGTGCCGACTATCATGAGGACATGACCTCCGACTTATTTGAAAAGTGGATAGAGCAGCTGTTAATATCAAACATTTCCCCAAATTCAGTGATTATTATGGACAATGCGCCATACCATTACCGACAGAAAAACAAAATTCCGAATACAGGCACAAAAAAACAAGACATTATTGATTTTATGAAGGATAAGGGAATGGAAATACCACAAAAATCAACCAAAGCCATATTATTGGATCTTATTAAAAGACAAAAATTTGAAAAAGAGTATGTTGTTGACAATCTGCTTCAGCAAAATGGCCATGAAGTATTACGTCTACCTCCCTATTACTGCATTTTTAACCCGATTGAGTTGGTCTGGGCTGCTTTAAAAAAAAAGTAAGAAAACATAATCAGACCCCTCAATTAAGTGAATCGCTATTGGTCACAATAAGAGATGCAGTATCTCATATTGCTGCCACAGACCTATGGAAGCAGTGTTCTAGGCATATTATTGAAAAAGAAAATGAATATTGTGTTTTGCCTCCTGTAAATCCCGTTGTAATTCCTCTACAAGATGACTCTAGCGACAGCTCCGAAGGCGAGGATGATATATAAATACCTATAATGTAAGTCTTTATATACCTTTTTATATACCTACCTGCTATGTAAATATTTGCCTATGTCAAACGTTGGAATTCTGTAATTTTTCCATTTCTTAACTTTCAGTCAACATAAATTAAACTCCCAATATAAGTATTTTTTATCCCAAATCAAAAAAATAAGAAGATAGTAAAATCCATTTATTTTGATATAAAAACATTATTATTATCGTTCTAAATAAATGCCGCACGCCTATGATACATCATGAAATTACAAAGGACGCGCCGACCAAAGGTTTTTATGCTATTTCAAGTGACTTCAGATACACCATACCTATGATTTGATCCCGGCAAGCTTTTTTTATATACCAAAGCAGCCGCGTAGACAAATACCTCAAGACATGCTTGGAAATGTAAGGAATGGATTCGAACAAAATCTTTATTATTGTTTAGGGGCACTTATTACAACATTGACCTACTACGAGTACCTCTTTATAGCAAATTAATTTTCACTTTAATGTGCGTATAAACCGTTAGTTGTTTTTTGTTTTTTTAACAATCGGAGACTTGTTTTTAATTTAAAGTCTTGTTACGATAGCAATATATTGTTGTACGGTTTTTTTGATATAATCCCTTATCACAATTTCTAGAATGTTATTATAAAGTCAAATAGCTTCACAACGATTGAAGATAGGTATAAACCTCATTATACAAAAGTTATTAGAAACTTCGTGAAAAATCTAAAAATAAAAAAATGAGGGTTTCCGACCTTTTTTTTGGGCCACCCTGTATAAAATCCAGGCGTAAACACGAGGTGCTCGCATTTTTTCTATAGAGTGGAGAAATATCTTTTGACCCTGAAATGTAGGTTGTTGCAAAATGTATGGTAAGAAGATAACAACAGCCTAACTTTGTAATAATACCTGTAAAGATGCATTTTTCTTGATAGAAGCTGAGGTATCAGTAGAGGCCTACCATTTCTTGACACCGAGCTTAATTTATCCAAGCATCTGATAAGCAGAATAAATGTATTATAAGCTTTGCCATTTTCACATAGCCATGGGATATTGTACCATATCTCTGTCCCTTATTTTCCACCATTATCGACTACACATCAAACCTATTAACCTATTTATGGCTAAATTTGGATGGAGTCTATAATAAGTGTTCCATTTTTATTTCCAAGTTAGTTTGAGTACCTGATGACGATTCTCACTGGTCCTTTGGATATACAGAATAAACTTCGCTTTAAGTAAAACCTATTACTATATATACAGGGTGATTTACAAGTCGTGACCAAAAATGAAACATCATACACAAAACCGCATTTCAAGGGGGGTCTCGTATGTAACATTTTTTCCTCGAGGGATCCATTAAAAAGATACCCCATATCACGCTAATTTTAAGTAAAGAATGTGGACTATACTTAGGTAAATCCACATACCAAATTTTTGTTTATTCCAGTTGACGGTTTTAGAAATATTAAAGAAACTGTTTTTTATTTTTGAACTTCAACACCCCGTATCTTTTTAATGAAGCCCCGACGAAAAAATATATCATAGAAGACCATCCTTAAAATGCAGTCCTGTGTATGATGATTCATTTTTGGTCACGATTTGTGAATCACCCTGTATAGTTATGATTAGTGCGAGTTGTTAATTTTGTGACTATGCACATTAGTATTTACAGATAAAATAGATAATAACCACGATGAGAATCATTTTTATAAAGTATCTCAATTAATTGTCCATGGTTTATTCAATTTTACTCTAGAGTGTTTTGAAGGACCTGTCTAATTGCTGTATCATTCTGAATATTAGGATACTATGATAATGTGACTACGAACTATAGACAGTGTAGCTAAAGAATACTGCTATTCTAAAAGCACAACTTTGAATAATTTACTTGTACCTAAAAGACCTAAATTATGTATCATGATTAAGGGATACGAACTATGATATATTCTTTTTTCATATCAGTGCATCTAAACATGTCCTAGTTTGTAAAAGAACGATATAACGTCGAAATACCAGCAGTTGGCGATACACAGATAGACTCTATGAGACATTTAAGAGACGAGTTCAAATCACCATTCCAAAATGCAAGATATTGGGTCGTGTATTTTTCTTATTTCCTAACAGCAACTTTTTCATTTTCAGTAATATCCATTCGCTACCCCATGTAACATTCGATATGTTTTCTATCTTATCGTAAACCTGAAATTTCCAAAAACGGTAAGAAGCGTAAACTAATGAGATGACGTATATGAGACATGACCTGTCAAAATAAATATCGTAAATGTAAAAATAATAAGCTTGATTCCAAGCAGGTAGCATTTCTAATATCTACAGTGACGCCAGAAGGGCAAGCATTATAATTTTATCCTAGAAGATCTATTCTACTACTTATGCATCTATCTACCTAGTCAAGGCTTAATCGATGCAAGAATTTTGTTGTTGAAGTATGTACCCAACAATTCTTCCGCACATTCTGTTGCCTAGAAATACGTTCATCCTCTGCCGTCCAATCAATAAATAAGAAAGGTACAATCTGATGTTAGATATGTATGTAATATGCGTGTATTACTCGTGTATAATGTCTCTTATGTTAGGTTCGATTATACTATTGATGGTACAAATTCAAGCAATGAAGAGGTATTTTTGAAGTAATGGGTCTTTTTCTTGTAAAGTGGCTTTCGCACTACATAACAATTAAACGATAAGATGTACGATAGGCCCCTAATCCCCATTACAAACCAAAAAATTTGTTTGTAGTTTACTCGTGACTCGTGACATTTGACAGTAGCATGAATTTTGACTATCACATTATTGAAATTGTAATTAGTGCTAATAGAGCTTTAGGTTTTACTGTTAGAAAATGTAAGCTTATTAAAGACTTCGCTGTATTAAAAACATTATAATTTGTATTATGATATCTTCATATGTTTCCTTCCTAAACTCATGGCAGGACCTTAAATAGCGTTATACATATTATGTTGATGTTTGTTTATTCTCGTAAATTTGGACAAATTAGTATTGTTTTTTCTTGTTATGCCAAATTTCGATTCTTTGTCCTGTAAATGGAATTATAAATATTCTGTTGGGCAATAAATGATATGACTACTATGCCTGGTTTCGCTAGAAAAACATATTCTTTCATGGGTCCAGGACACAAAATGTGCATACGAAACGTATATTCGACCAATCAAAATGAAGGATTCGTGTCGAAATCGAAGCATGGCGAGACAGAGATAATTTAAAGAAAAAGTATACGAGAGATGTCTTCTAAGTTTTGCATATCGAACGTCAGTACTGAATCTTAACCTCACTCTTTAGTAAACTTAAATTCACAGTTTCACAACAATACGTGCAGTATTCTCACTACAGTGAATTTTTAAGTGTCACCAAGTCATTAGAAAAATGGAACTCAACCTAGAACATTTTCGCGCCATAATTTCTTACAACTTTCAGAGACAATTATCGCAAAAAGAATGCCTTGCTGAGTTACTGTCTATTTTCGTCAACGAAGCGCCACATCAGTCGACAATTTCCCGTTGGTATGAAGAATTCAAACGTGGACGGGTGAGTCTTAGCGACGATCCCAGGGTGGGTGCACCAAAAACGGCAGTCATCCAGGAAAACGTCGATGCTGTGCGCAAACTCATCATTGAAGATAAACAAGTGACATATCGCGAGATTGAGGCGCCCTTGAAGTTCTCAAAGACATCAATTCAAAAAAATTTACATGAAGAATTAGGAGTAAGAAAATTAGTTTCTCGTTGGATACCCCCCCCCCCCTCTTGACTGAAGAGCAGAAAGCAGCCAGGGTTAGTTGGTGTCAAAAAACGCTTAACCGTTTCAATTCCGGAAACTATAACACTATAGTCCCGATCTAAGTCCTATCGATTTATTTACTTCCTCGAAAATTAAAAACAGACTGCGTGGTCAAAGGTTCCAGTCACCAGAAGAAGCAGTTGACGCAGTCAAAAATGCCGTTGTGGATCTGCCAGCAAACGAGTGGAATACGTGCTTCGAAAATTGGTTCGAGCGCATACAGATGTGTATTAGTCTTCGTGAAGAATACTTCGAAAAACAATAAAGTCATTTAAAACTACCTACCGTGTTGTTTTATTTCCATATGCAAAACTTAAAAGACATTATCTACAAAAAAGTCTATATTTTCTCTGTACAGGTTGGGATCAGGTCAGTCAAACTAGATGATTGATTAATGTCCTTTCTGAACAAAAATCTGTTTAGTAAAATTTTTTAAGACATAAATTAAGTTACAGAATGCTTATTCTTTAGCAAATATCGAGCAAATATTCAATTTACGAAAAACCCTGTTCCCTTCCAACTCCATTTATGATCGACACGTATTCAGAGCTAATTTTCTTGGCCTAACAGCAAATGATGCCACTGGCGCCATCTACTGGACCGACTGCGCGGTCTCTAACCGTACCTTGCCACCGTTACCGTTTCAAGGTCCAGTAGATGGCGCCAGCGATATCATTGACTGTTAAGCCAGGAAAATTAGCTCTAGATACGTATTGACCATTTAAGTAGTTAAAAAGGAACACGGCTTTTTGCACGGTAGTCAAGTGAATTGAATGTTTGCTCGATATTTATTAAATAAGCCATCTGTAATTTTATCTTCAACGAATTCAGTAAGCAGAATACCTGATACAAACCTATAGAAAGAAAACATTGGTTTTTAAGCTAACTGACCTCAATGAACTCCCAGATAAGTAGTGGCACTGCTATTTTCAAAAAATGCCAAATAATTGATTTCATGTCAATCTAGATATTTCATCAGATATAGGTCATGGTTTCTTCTTTTTGATTGGTGGATTTTGTGCACATGGCAGCAAGCTTTGTGCACGGGCGCAAATGGAAAAATAGCTTTTTGTATCTAAACCAGGTGATTTTTGAAGTATTTTTTATCCAATATGAAAATTAGGGCTCCATCTTGCACAAATCTTTTTAATTTTTTCGCTAGCTTGCGAGATATTTTACAAGAAACCGACTACATTCTTGAGATCAATTACCCTACAAACGTCTTGTCATTACTTGAATTTGTGCCTCGAGCGTCAGTGTTTCTATTGACCAAAAAATAAAAGAAAAAGAATCTCTCACGAATATGAAAAAGAAATGTTGGAATATAGACTTAAAATTCTTGCATTGCTATTCTTCAAAACTTTACTCTTCAAACTAGTGTTAGTGTATTAGTTAAGACTTACTCACTCAGAGAAAAAAATATACTGTGGACTAGTGACGGTATACTACAAAATCATCACTTCGATAAAAAATTCTGTAATACGTGTTACTAAATCGTCTCTCTATGTACCTATTCACGTGTGCCCTTTCGAGGAAGGTGAAGAAGGAAATTTTCATCGGGATATCGAGGGAAATTTGGCGAAAAGGACATTCTGGATATCATTTTTATTATTCAAATAAATGCAACAGAGCTCCATGGTTATGCTGATTCAATATTTTTGATTATTAATATGGGTATCAAGATTTTCATCCATAAGTGTGCACTAACTAATAAAACCATTGCATAGTCTTGTTGCATTGATTGAATAACAGTGAGCTAGATAAGTTCAGCGACTATACCGCAGTTCGATATTCTGAATTTTCAACTACGGTTGGGCTGTACGGTGAGCTTTACGAATAAGTTTACGTTATTCTTTTCAGCCTACGGACTTCCTTAGCCTGAAGCCTTCGATATATCAATAATTGTTGATGTTACTGTAAAAATATGATTAAGAATTTCAAATCGGTATCTGAAACTTATCTAGCGTATGTAAACAGCAGACTTTTTGCATAGGCGATTTCTCAGTGATATAAACGGGTCACATCTTCATAACAGTATTTAAAATATCAGTTGTGTGAAAACTCAACGTTGAGATGCAGCTTTCTGTGTAAATGTAATTTTTGCTGTATTTATTTTCTGTCACTTATGAATGAACGTCAAGTTTTTGATTTATTAAGACAATAATTTTCCGCATGAGTATTCGCATATACTCGTATGATTACTTTTTTCCACTGTCATATACTGTAACGCTGTGTCGTAACTACGAGCCCCTTCGCACTTCAGTTGGCCCACTTCAAGATTTGTATTAAAATATGCCTTTATGACGAAACTATTTACTGCTAAAACAATTAATTTTCTCAAAAACATTTTAGATACACTCTAGTCGTAAAAAATACATATTTGAAATCACTTAGACCTATAACTAATAGATAAACAAATAAACAATGTGCGAATAATGCGCGAAGTTAACAAAGCAACAATTGAAAGATTACCATTGGGTAACATCACCTTTATTTTTTATTACGGCTGAAATTCTTTGGAGCATAGTGTTAACCAAGTTTTGGCAAAAATTTGGTATAAAACAATCCCATATTTCTTGAAGATTTTGTCTCAGTTCGGTGATTGTACGAGCAGGATGTTGTCTTTTTTTTTTGTTCTGTTATTGGCACTGGTCGATGACCAACTGGCCAGATCCTTATGTTCAGTATAATGCTATGCTTTAATAGAAAATAGAACATCCATTACTTAATATTAATATTGTGTATTATTTCTTTTATACTTACATAGCGCATGCAAACACATATTTCTCTTTTTTTTGTTTTTTTTTAACCAATACTTTTTACTTATTTTTTCATTTTCTCTATTTTGTTTATAAGACTGTTTTTTTTTCTGATCTGCTTTTTTTTTTTGTTTTTCAATATTTCCTTCTTTTTTCATTTTTTCAAACAAACTTACAGTAGTTTACATTTTATAATGTTAGGCCTACTTTCCGACAATGCTTGCAGGATGTTGACGTAGAACCTTTTTCGTCTCGTGCCACAAAGTTTCAATAAGTGACAGATCTGGACTGCTAGAAACCCATTTCAAAAGTGGTACATTATTTTCTTCCATCCATTTTATAGCCTTTTTTGCGGTATGGCACGCTGCACCACCTTGCTGAAACACAAAATCTTGGCCGTATGTCAAACATTCTTCCATCACTGGTAAAAGCGATTCTTCTAAAATTGCCAAATATTTGTTTGTAACCACATTTCCATCAATAAAATGAAATTTTCCTACTCCTTTTGATGACATACTGCCCCAGACCATAATGGATGCTGGAAATTTCACGTTTCTCTTCAGACAGTCAACATGGAATGCTTAATTTTTTTGCGAATAACTCTACTGCGACTGTCACCAATAC